AAACCCATACCAGAGGCATGTTGTGTGCACATCAAGTTGCATTGGCCAACTTCGTAAGATATCAACGCCTTTCTCTGCTATATCAACATTCATGGCATCAACATTCAGTCAGGCACGACGATCATCTGCAAAGTCCATGTCTCCCCCAGATCTCAGGCATGTCAAGAAGGCCTTGAGCTTGAAACTGAGACTACCGAAAGCTTTCGACGAGGCCAAAGAATTAAACGCGTAGTCCCACGTGATCGTGAAGGATATAGTACCCCACCGCGTCGAAGGCGCCGAACAACGCGTCCTTGTCTTTCTCCCTGACCGCGATGGCCGTCCCGCCCAACGCCCCGACGCGTCCGCACGACGAGCAGCAGTATCTCGACCTCATCCGCTCCGTTCTCGACACTGGCGCTGCCCGCCCAGACCGCACAGGCACAGGCACCCTCTCCCTCTTCGCACCCCCCAACCTCCGCTTCTCCCTCGCGGATGACACCCTGCCCCTTCTCACCACAAAGCGCACCTTTCTCCGCGGCATCGTAGAGGAGCTGCTTTGGTTTGTGCAAGGCTGCACGGACTCCAACACCCTCTCCGCAAAAGGCATCAAAATCTGGGACGGCAATGGGTCCAAAGAGTTCCTCCACAAACGCGGCCTAGGGCACAGACGCGAGGGAGACCTCGGCCCCGTCTACGGCTTCCAGTGGAGGCACTTTGGTGCGCAGTACGAAGACGCTGACGCGGACTACACCGGCAAGGGCGTCGATCAGCTACAGGAGTGCATACGCAAGATCAAGCACGACCCCACGGATCGCCGTATCATCCTCTCTGCATGGAACCCTGCAGGCGTGTCCATCCGTTTCCCTCGTGCGGCTATCCTTCTAACCTCCAGCCGTTAGATATCCCCCAGATGGCGCTCCCCCCCTGCCACATGATGTGCCAATTCTACGTCCACCTCCCGCCCGCCGATGACCCGACCGCAAAGCCCAAACTGTCCTGCCTCATGTACCAACGCTCCGCCGACCTCGGCCTCGGCATCCCCTTCAACATCGCCTCTTATGCGCTCCTCACCCACATGGTCGCCCACGTCACCGACACGGTCCCGCACGAGCTGGTGATCCAGCTCGGGGACGCGCACGTCTACCGCGACCACGTCGATGCGCTGAAGACGCAGCTCGAGCGCGAGCCGCGGCCGTTCCCGAAGCTGAGGTGGCCGCGCAAGGTCGAGGGCATCGACGACTTCCGGAGCGAGGACTTTGTCGTGCAGGGCTACGACCCTCATCCCAGCATCGCGATGAAGATGAGCGTGTAGGATGACGGTGTGCTTTGTCGTTTTTAGGATGTGCAGCGTTTGTCGGGTGTATGAGCTGTATTACTGATGGCGGCCTTGTGATCTGCCAGCGAGATGTACGTGTCTGTAATTTAGACGGACCGGACGGAGGTTACTTCCGCGCGCTCTCGATCGCAAGCAACATATCGGGTCTGTCTCAAGATTGTCGAATACCTAGCATACCGATCGCGCTCCAATCGATTGGCAAAACACACCGAAGAAAGCAAGTATGTGCAATGTATTGCTTTTCCCCAATAGTCCCACAGGATACACTTCGCACTACATTCCGTTCCGAAACAGAGTCGGGGTGCCTACTCGTACACCCTCCGTAAAATACATCAGTCATAAGCTCGCCACGCTCAGCAGCCCGAGGGGACCGAGCTGTCGTCGTTGTGGTTCGCGGCGTTCACGCCGAGACCGCGGCTGGCGAACGCATTCCAGATCGTGCACTTGTTCGCGCCCGCGTAGCGGTTCACGTCCGCCTGGATCCACGCGTCGCGCGCGGTCGTGAACGTCGGGTTGCACGGCTGGAGGGAGAGCGCGTCGATGAAGAGGTGCATGAAGACGACGTTGCCGGCCGTGCCGGTCGGGTCCGTGCGCGCGGTCGCGGAGTACCCGTGCGCGCCGACGAGCGCGCCGTAGACGTTGTGAAGCATGTTCGCCCAGACCTCGCCGATGTTGTGCTCCTCGTTGAGCGCCTTGACGGACGAGTACCGGAGCGGGTTCACCGACGCGGAGGTCGAGTAGGGGTGCGAGCGGATCCCGGCGGAGTCGTTGATCACGTATTGGCCCATGACGAAGTCGGGCACGGACGAGTCCGTCTTCTCGAGCCAGCTGTGGGGGTGCGTGTTAGTGTCGGGTGCGGCAGAATCTGTGAGGATTTCCCGAGACGTACTCAGCGAAAGCATCGGACCAGCCTTCACCGAGACCGAGAGCCTCGAGGGTCTGGAGGCAGCGGCCGGTGCCGCCGCCGGTGAGACGGTTTGTGAGGCCGTGGGTGTTCTCATGCGAGACGACGTCGTTCTCCAGCGCGCCGTCGCGCTCGGGGTTGGTGAGGTCCCAGAGGAACATGCGCATCGCCCCGCTCTGGCCGTCGGGCGGAGTGGAGAAGTCCGCGTTGTCCGAGCCGTCGGCGTCCTGGACGGAAATGGTGACGCGGTCGTTGCCCCTGCCGCCCTTGTTGAAGTTGCTGTTCTGGAAGTTGAATCCGGCCTCGGTGAAGCCGTACTTGTACGTGATGTCGTGGATCGAGTTCACGATGTAGAACGCGTTCACGCGCGCAGCGTTCACGTTTGCCGTCGTCGTCGGCGCAGAGTTCGGGCTCGCGGGGTAGTTGAACACGAGGCCGGAGCCGGACTGGGACGTTGTCGCGCTCGTGCGGCTCTTGTACGCGATCGCGTTATTGCCTGCGGTAGTGGTCGTCGTCGTCGTGCCGTCACTGTGCCAGCCCTGGGGGGAAGCGGTTGTGTCCTGGGGATCGACGAGAGTCTGGAAGCCCTGGTCCTGGGTTTCCTTCCAGATCGGGAGAACAAGGTACTGGAGATATCTGTAAGCTGACAGCTTCATATACAAGATGAAAGAGAACTCACAGAGGCCTTGTTAACGAAATCAGTGACAGAGACGAGGTCGCCGGTGTGGGCGTCGACAAACGCCTCGTACCAGGTCCCCGCGTCCTCATTGCGGACCTGGAAGACGTGGGTGAGGGTGATAGAACCGTCCTCCTTCGCGAACCACTCGAGTGTGGGCGAGGGGAAGTTCTCAGCGTCGTGCGTGCCGCTCAAGAGCTTCTCGGCGGAGGAGATGGCGTCCTCGACCTGGACGGACGGAGTGGCCGCAAGCTTCTTCTGGGGGACCTTGACGAAGGAGCTGCCGAACGCGACGACCTTGTTGTCCTTGTTGAAGGCGATGTTCGCGACAGCGTTGGCGAAGGGGATGCCGTTCAGCTGCTGCTTGACATAGACGTGGTGCGCGGCCTCGCCCTCGAAGGCGGAGCGGATGTGGACGGCCTCAGGGTCGACGCCAGCACGAGACTGGATGAAGGCGATCGCCGAGTCTTCCACAGACGCGTCGGCACGCTTGGACAGAGGGTGCTCGATACCCTCCCCGAAGGTCTGTCGAAGTGCGAACGTCAGTGCGGGCGGGGGAACAGCATTGACGGTGTGTGTACCTCGAAGGACGACTCGGGGTGGTAAGCCTCAACCTTGAGGTCCCGGCTGATCTCGCGAGTATGATGCGTCGCGAACTTGGAGTTCAGCGGGTAGGGGACCGCAGTCGCAGTCGTCGCGCAGAGCACCGCGAGGAAGACAGACGCAAATACTTTCTTGAATGCGAACATCTTTCAAGTTTGAGTCCGGGGTGAGGAGTCTGTGAACGGATGCGAGGGAGTGTGGGGAGGAAGACTGGGACTGATGAAAGCCTGTCTAGAGCGAAGACGGGAACGAGATCGCCTAGAGGACTTGAGGAGAGCGCAGCGTAGTCTTTATACCGTCCAGCTATCGCTGCTTAGCCATGATATTTGTTGCAATCCAGAGGGGGAGCACATTGCAACGCAGGGTCCCGCATGGCTGCTGCCCCACGCAGGATGTCGACGGCCGACTCCTGCTTATGCCACTCGCACTGTGGGCCTGGACATCACGGGGATGCGGGGGCTTGCGACAGAGGGCTTGATAGGGCATCTTGCACAAAGTGACGGAGGTATTCTCTACGCATCATGGGCACGGTGCTTCTCTCGAAGAGCGGGATTAGTGATCCGCCGAACACTTCCGTTGAGGCCCGGTTGATATGAACATCCAGCTGGACGACCTGGATGATTGATATCGTAGGACGTCCCTACTTTGAGATGGGTACTCGTTGGAGTGGGCTTCTATTATTCATGCAGAAAAAATTCTGTTTTTTGAGGTGGGTTTTCCGTGCGGAGCACTTGACCGACGATGTCGCCGTGGGTCACCTCAGAAAAGTAGATGGTGGCACTGCAAGTGGCGGATTGAACTGGTAGTATCGAGCTGTGTCTAGTCGAAGTCAATGCCATATGGTCGACTGTGGCGGAAGAAGAGTTGAAATCGGGAGCGCGAGGTGGACTTTTGGATGTCCAATCGGCATGCACGCCAAGCCAGAGCTGGTTGCGATATTCTGTCCGATGACAAAACAAGTCAGTCCAACGACGTTATGTGTGTCCCCACGAGTGCAGCGCCACAACGTCTCGGTCCAGGACTCCAGGTGGTCACGATCAATTCGGGAGCGGGGAATTGACATGCGAGAGCGAAGAAGTCGACAATGGAATGCGTCGTTGTTGGTATACGAGTGTCGGAACAGTTGCAGGTAGTGCTTGGCTTGCGCTCACACATCAGATGCCATATGGTGTGTAGCACACTCGCTTCAGAGATTGAATAGCCGCGTAAGCCTTGCTGGATCGCTGAACTAATCCTGCGGGCATGTGGCCAGCGGGCGCACGAGCGAGCGGCACCCTCGACATGAGGCCTGAGGCGACGACGGTGGACCGTCTGAGTGTCGGCCATCGCCTATATGATGAGGTCTACGTGGGATGAGTGCTAAATAGCTGTACAACAAAGGAACATGGTACCTCAGACTTGAGAAGAGCTCGCTCACGGCAGATCGAGTCGGTACTTTGATAGGTAGCGAAGGAAAGCAGGTTGTCATCTAGAGCTATTTGAGCGTTGCCCCTGAACAAGGCCTAATGGTCTAGAAGTATGATACTCGCTTTGGGCGTTTGCTGTTTGCGAGTGGTCCTGGGTTCAATTCCCAGTTAGGCCCTTTTTGATTATATATTTTTGTTTTAGGCTTGTCTCGTCGATGCCGCGACGTGAAAACTATTTTCAATAACGTGTACTTATGGCCAAATACATATGCATCAGAATGAGCCTCACCGTTGGTACACAACACTCTAAGCTGCAGCTAATCCTACGGGCTTTGTGTCAGCACTAGTGTAGGACTGATGGCATACATGCGGCCAGCCTTCCTCCCCGCACTGGCAGGAAGAGCAAAGAGGCTGCGTCTGCAGCGTGCATATTGGCATGTCGACGCGATGTATGGAACGTGGGACCCCGAGCACCCGTACGCAGAGGGTTCCCCAAATCCTCGCGCGGGCCAGCACGCAATCCTCGTGTGCGCGTGGCGGGCTCGCGTATAGCGGGCCGTGCTCGACAAGGCGACAAGGTCCAGGGCGAACGTCGCGTGCATCGTGGGGGCGTGCGCGGTCTACCTCTGCGTGAACGTCCATGTCGCGCAGCAGATCGGCGCGGCGGGCGGCAGCAAAGCAGACATGCCTTCTTGACGGCGATGCGGGCGTGTGGGATCACGTTGCAGGTGCACCTGGTGTCCGAGGGTGTTGTGCCTAGCACTCGAGGGGCCCAGCATGTGCTCGCCGCCCGTGCAACGTTGTCGTGCGGGTGCGGAGGGGTGGGTAAAGACGTGCTGGAGTAGGGCTGGGTAGCGGAACTCGGAAAAGAGGAAAAGAGAGCGAACGAAAGCGGATAGGATATGTGGCCCAGAGCGAAACACAGAATTTTACGGGGCAGGTGCGAAGCAAATAAGATGTTAATGTCCGGCCACTCCTATGCAACATTGCCAGGGTTGAGTACCGCGACGGGACAAGGGCATCGGGGTGAAGACTGTGGCTTGCCGCGGACCTCGACCGCCATCTCAGCGCCCTCTTGTGGAAGCCATTCTGGACGCAGCCCTAGAACGGAATAGCGAACGTCACTGTGGCTGCATGCTCATGTACTAGATGTGGCCGCTTGCAGAGGTGAAGACGCGCAGCGATATTCTCCTTACCAATATCTTTGCGCGCTCTGTGAGAATGCGAGCGCCCCCAACGGTGAGCCGCACCCGCCTGCGTACGGGGTGGTCCTCTTTCAGTTGCTTTAGCACGAGTTCTGCGCCGACGAAGTTGCCTGATGACCCGCGAACCTCCTCGACGTGGCTCATGTTCTTGTCGAGGCCCTGGCCGTAGAGGAACATACCCAGCTCGAGAGGCAGACTGTTGCGTGTGCCTAGGCCGGCGAGCTGCACGGGGGACTTCGAGAACAGCTGCCTGTGCGACCTCCACCGCCTGCAAGGGGTAGATGTAGATCTACATCGCCGCCGTCAGCCAGCGCCAGAGAGGGGGGGGAAAGCTGTGGTACCGGTGGAAGCTCGAAGCCATCTTCGCCTGCGTAGCCGCCGTGGAGGCTCAACACGGAAGTCATAGACACCGGGATAGAAGACACAAAGAGGGGGACGAAGGCGCACATTCGGAACGTGAATTCGCGTAGATCAAAGGCAGTCAGTACTTCGACTTCCTGCGGGTACTAGGCTGCCTCCAGACCTGCGCTTCACGCTTCACCAGAGCCAGTCAGGTAACTTCAGCCTGGCACGGAGGGTGGCGAGCGAGGCGATCGTGTGCCATGTTTTCCTGCATATGGGACGGCGATGTAATGCGGAAACTGCCAGGGACTTGTACCGGTCCGCGTGAGTGACGATGCAGTACGAGTGCTCGGCGTGCTTGGCGATGACGGTGTGGTCTACGGTGCCTTCATGGTCGTTGAGGGACGTTCGAGAGGGGCGAAGCGACGAGGGGTGAGATTCTCAAGGTTGGCGGTGGCGAAAGCGGGAGCATATGGCTTGAACGATTCGTCTGACGTCGAAGCGGAAGAGCCCAGTAGATTCGCGTGCGTGTTCTGGCTCGCGAGTGCAGTACTTCGCGGACATTGCACAGCCGGAGCGAGGACAGTGTGGCGGCAAGGACATGGCGATTGTGGGTGGATGGCAGTTGGCATCTGCCGGGCGGAACATACGCTGATGCGTCGCGCGATGTTCGTCGCCGGGGCGCGCCTGCTCTCTGTCGGCGGTGTACGGCGAGGGAAAGGGGCGGGACGACTCCGACTCCGACTCTGAGGGGCTGGCGCGCACTCTGGCACGGGCGCGCGAACGCTCCTTGCCTCCTCCCCTCGCCATCGTCGTCCTGCCCCACACTGCGCCGCCCTCCGCCCCTCTCTCGCCGCTCGCTTTGCCTTACGACGACCACCTGCCTTAGCCCATGCATCCCGTCCGCTTCGATCCCGACGACCCTCTCACCGCCGCCATCGCCCCGCCCGCGGGAGAGAGCGCAGAGGAGCGCGCGGTGAGACTGAGCAAGGAGGCAGAAGCCAAGCAGATCAGCGATGCAATAGATGAGAGACTCAAGGAGGAGCGGGCAGCGTCCAAACGTCTTCGTCCGTCCTTCAAGCTCCTCCTTCTCGGCCAGAGCGAATCAGGTCCGTCTGTCCCCGCCCGCCCTCACACGGTGAATGCTCACGGCGAGGACAGGAAAGTCCACCACGCTCAAAAGTACGTCCTCATTTCGTCCGCCGACGTTCCTGCCCACTGCGCTCGCTCACTCCCACCCAGACTTCCAGCTCGCGTTCGCGCCCAAGGCATGGCAGGCTGAGCGGGCATCGTGGCGCGCGGTGATCCAGCTCAATCTCGTTCGATCCATCAACACCATTCTCGATGTCCTCTCCGCCGAAATGGCGGCAGCACATGCAGCGCATTCCCCCACAACCACGCCGTTCCTCCGCCCAGCCACTTCGCAGGGCCATGCCCGCATTGATACCGACCACAACCGCGAGCCCGCAGACGGCACAAGCACTACCTCTAGCTCTGCCACTGCTCCAGCCGTAGACACGGACCCGGCATCTCCCTCAGAGCCTCTGCAGTTTACAAACACCCACGCCCTGCTCAAGCTCCGTCTCACACCGCTCCGCCGTGTGGAGGCCGACCTCAAGCAGCTGCTCGGTGCAGCGACGGAAGAGCTCGCTCCTGACGCCTTCAGCATGCCTGATAGCCCCGGGCGGGAAACGTCCGTCATCCCACTGTATGACGACCCCGGTTCTGCCGCGCTCCCGCAGCGGCCGCCGGGCGAGTTCTATGTGCGTTCGAATCAGAGCTGGCGTGACGCCCTTCGGTGCGCGTACCAGGGTTTCGGTGCAGGCGGCGAGCAGCAGCAGCGCGCTGCCGCGGTGTATGAGGGCAAGCTGACAGACGCAACGGAGATTATTGCGAGCTGTGCCGATGACATGATAGCGCTGTGGGAGGACGAGGTCGTGCGCGGCATCCTGAAGCGGCTGAAGATCCGCCCAGAGCAGTCACCGGGGTTGTGAGTGGCTTCAGCATCGTGGTGTGCCGTGATTGATCTGTGCCAGTTTCTTGGATGATATTGCGCGAATCGCGGCACGGGGTTACGAGCCGTCGGATGAGGACGTCGTGCGCTCGCGGTTACGCACGCTCGGCGTCCAGGAGCACAAGCTCGTGATGGAGCGCAGCGGTATGTCTCAGCCTCGCGTTCCACATTCGTTCCTCATATGCGGCCCAGGCATATCGGCTCTTGCGACCAACGATGTTTCGCGGGAATGGATGATCTACGACGTCGGTGGCTCGCGCACATCCGTACGTGCCCCTCCCTATGCGCGCATTGTCTGAAACCTGATGATTCCAGCGCGCGGCGTGGTTCCCGTACTTTGACGACGCGAACGCGATCCTTTTCCTCGCACCCATCTCGTGCTTCGACGAGCTCCTGGAGGAGGACCGGCGCGTGAACCGCCTCGAAGACTCTTTCCTCCTGTGGCGCGCGATCGTCGAGTCCAAGCTGCTCGCGAAATGCATCCTCGTCCGTGCGTCCCGACGCGCTCTTACGTGACGATCGGCTGACGCAGGGTGAGAGACTAGTATTTCTGAACAAGTACGACCTGCTCGAGAAGAAGCTTGCCTCGGGGGTGCAGGTGCGCAAGTACCTCCCCAGCTACGGCGTGCGCGAGAACATTGCGCGCGTCTTCGCGCGCTGTATGTGCTCTCCTGCGCCTTGTGCCGCTACGGAGCGCTTGCTCACGTTGTGTGTCTGCGCAACAGACCTCCAACAAAAGTTCAAGGACCAGCACCGTGAATACACGCCCCAGCCACGTCGGCCACTCTATATCTATACCACCACCGCGATTGTGCGTTCTTGTGCACCGATGCATCTGTGCAATCAATTGGCTCACACGCAGATCGGATTGGTAGGACACGAAGGAGACGACGTCAACCCTGGCTTCTGGTGCGCCTACCCCGCGCACTGTTGATCTTTTTGCGTTGATGCTGACGCCGACGTTGGTGTGCACTACATAGTACGCGACGGAATTCTCCGACACAACCTGCACAAGGCCGATTTTGTATGAACCCCCACCCCCAATACCCTGCAGGTATCTAAAATGGACGGACGGAGACGGATGGCGTCTTGGCAGCGGCGCATGTAACCATTGTATCTCTAGATCCTCTGTCCCTCCCTGCCATGCTTTTTTGTTCCAATGTCGTATACGTTGCTGCTGCTATCATTCTGATGTTTGGTCTATCTTATTTACTATTGTACCGCGCATACATGCGCATAATCTATCCGCGTCTTGCGCACCGACATCACACCCGAACAGATCCGGCGGTACAGCCGGACACGAGATACTTGGCTGCGAGACTAGAGATAGAAGGGTATGCCGTACACGACCGGCGCTGCGCCCGTCAGATACTTGAGCTTGCAGCACTCGCGCGCCCTCGCGACCGCGCGCACGACCGATGTCCGCGCGCGCGCGCTGTCCTCCGCGTGCCACCGCTCGACTGCGTCCGGGGTGAGGTGCAGGTCGTCGAAGACCGCCTGCGAGAACTTGTCGATGTCGCGGTCGGTCACGTCCCACAGGTTCGCGACGAGCGTCGGGCTGCGCCATGCGGAATCCGTCAACGCGTGGACTAGGGACGGGCAGGCGCGCGCAAAT